GTGTCCGCTTAAAAGGGGTGTCCGCTTAAAAGGGGTATGTAGAAAAACACAGCAGGAGGCAAAGGTGTGTAATTAGGTGTGTAATTTGAGTATCAAAACAGTAAAAAATATCTAGCGAATAATTAGCATAAAATGAAAATTTCTTTGTGCATAAAAGTTCATTAGAAAATGTATGCGTCTCACAGTCATATAAAAAAGGAATCGATACAAGTTTGCTTTCGAGGCTCGTTGTCATCATCAGTGATCTGACACATATCTTTCGGCTCCTCGGCTGGCGGTTCACAGTCCTCGTTCGTCACTTCCTCAATAATCTTGGCTCTGATGCCTTTGCGCCAAGTTAATTGGTGTGTCACTATCAATGTGCCAATGTAAATTGATCTCAATTGTTATTTATTGTCGAATATTGAATACGTTTTATCAGACAATCTGTCATCTGTCCGCTTAAGAGAGGTTGATTTGCCCATTGGGACCTCCAGAAAGGTGTCCGCGTCCGTTAAAGAGGGGTGTCCGCTTAATAGGGGTTATGATAATAGTTTTTTATTAAAGAAACCAAATGGGACTTGAGATATGTGTCCGCTTAAAAGAGGTGTCCGCTTAAGAGAGGTGTCCGCTTATAGGGGTTCGACTGTATAAAGATATATTACATTTTGTCTTCGGATGACCCAAAATCACACACATACCAAAAATCATATTTGGGGTTAATCGTATTCATTCAGCGCTCTCATCTTTTAAATTTGATTGACTAATATACTGCCAGAAAATTTTACATCACTTTAGTTGGTTCCCAACTAAAGATAAAAATATTTTAGCTCTATGGTCCGAGTGTTGATTTACTTGATTATTTTCAATGTTCTCTTGCGGTCCAAGAAAGTAAAATATTCTTCATCCCTGCATATGTTGGCCAACTAAATTCTCCCCCCCCCCCGTCCGCCACATATATATCAAAACTAAAAATACCTTGTGTTCAGGTTGGAATCATCGGGACTCCATCCAGCCATAATTTCTTCATCATAAATATATCTTTCACATTGCTTACATTGATTACAACTACAGATCAACGCTTCGAATGACACGTCACGAGGGACCATACCACAATGGCTTCGCCAGTCAACATAGTCGATACCCGAAGTCGTATTCTAGGAAACAAAATCACTAAAATTCTAAAACTTGAGCCACCCAGCTTCCTCCGCAGGCAACACCTTTAGATTGGCGGGCAGAATTTGATTGCGGGCAAAAAAGAGCTTTGATTTCTCAGCGAGATTTTACTCCACGCCCAACAGAAAAGTAAGGCAAATAGCTAAGATATCAGTCTATGCTCATGCAAAAATTCATGGCAGTAGATTGAATACTTTCAGAATGGCAACATTTCTGCTTTTTGATTTGGAACGGTCTAAATATGTGACTCAGAAATTACCTAAATTTATGAGAAAATTTACTAATTAGAAGACCGGCCAACATTCTGAAATGTACACTCATTTTTTGATACAAGCTGTCAACTGGTATTTTTCTTATAGCTTACACATTGGTGAACAAGAGTATGTATGTTGGCATCTCTGATTTTGGCTTT